TGAAAACGGCAAAAGTTGTGTAAAAGCAGCCAATTTGGACGAAGAGAATCGCCAACAGTAGCACTTTGTTAGATTTCTTGACCCATCAACCAGAAATTTCGTGAACGTCGTACCCATACCCGTAATTTTCCCCAAATATGTCCCCAGCGTGCTACCCTTTTCGCACGAGGTACCATGGTTTACCGAACGCGTGCAGTCCTCTTGCTCAGCAACAACATGGGTTGCTCCAGTTTGAGCATTTCGGCGCCGACACGCTTTGTTGGTATTGCCCATACAACGTTTCTGCTAATAGTATCGTTATGGTGATATGGGTGCTTAATGTTTCAATTTTATTAGGAAGATACGGCACGAAGTTTACCCCGCGTGAAATAGCACGGGCAGGACAAAAGTTACATGAAATCCCCGGTAAGTGTAACTTCCGGTGAGTGTCACAAAGTCGGCTCAGGCCGCGCTAGGCCTCAAAGTTGATGGGCTTAGAGCTGTATTCGTTTGCTTCATTTCATGAGCAGAGCGCAAGCTTCGCACCCCTCGAGAAGTAAGCATCACAGCGAAGCCAGCCACGGAAGTTTAGGGCGGCGTGTTGAGTGTCTCGGACCGCAATGGAAGAGAAAACGCGCTACGTTGTTTTATTGATCGATCGTATCGAGGTGGTCAGATTCAATCCACACAATGAGGGGTTAAAGGTTGTAGGTGGTGTTGGCCCTCCGCGTCGTTTCGTTTCCAATGCACTTGTGGAGCTCAAAATAACGTTTTTAGAGGCATGCAGCAACCAAAAATGCAACTCACTATTGGAGTTGCAGGCACGTCCTGGTGTTGATGCAGAAATCTGAGGAAATAGCGATTCTGACACGCAATGCTCCGTTCTGGAGCTGATAAAAGCTAATGTGTTGATCACTGATGTTTTTCCGCGAGTCGTTTCAAACACATATACGCTCGGATTCGACCTAAACCAGGAACTTCTGAAAACCATTTTTGATTATCTACTTGGCTGTACCAACTAGCTTCTATTTTGTGTACGACTAAGCGTCTTGATATATATTCGCTTATCTTTTCGTTGCTTTACATGCCGCCAGGTAAAAAACTTATTCCGCCATACTGCTCTGCTTGGTCAAGGTGGCTGCCTATCACAAATGGCTACGCGATGACAGGAACTGTCCTTCATGGGGTTCCTGCACAGTGAAAGTGACAGTCATACAGCCGACCCCGTAACAGTGACAAGCTGTTCCACTTTGTGACGCTAACAGTCCGTCAAGCAGTCACTATCCCGAGGCGGAGACAGTGCGCCACACCATTCGGTGCCAGCCGTCAGCGTCTGGCCGGCGACGTCCGCTGTCCGGTGGAGCGGTTCTGACGTGACCTGTTGGAGAGCGAGCGGCCACCATCGACCCGCTTCCTGGCAATTGGCCGGCTGGCACGGGCGGCTCCCGGCGATCCCACCCGGCCCTCCAGCGCCGCCAGCCGCTCGACGCGGCCGTCCTGGCCCAGCCTCGCCAGCTGGCGCGTCAGGCTGGCCGAGCCGGAGGCACTGGCCGCGATCGCCTGCTGCACGGCCTGCTCGACCTCTGGCGGCGCGGCACCCTCCAGCCGCGGTGCCGCCAGCTCCCAAGCCAACTCGGCGCGCAGCAGGCGTGCCTCCAGCTCGGCGCGCGAGCTCGGCCGCCGCCCAGCGTCCGGAAGGTGGCGCCCGGCCTGACCGCGGCGCCGCACCACTGCCCGGTAGGTGACGCCCTGCGCAGCGTCACCAGCCCGCGGCTGGCGGCCGGCAAGCGCCGTCCAGCAGACGCAGGCCGCCCCTGGCCATTCCGCACAAGTCGAGGTCGCACGGCGCGTCGGCCGGCAGGCAGCGGCCGCCGAGACGCTCCTTGCAGCCAGTCCAGCAGCACGCGCACCATGCAGTCGGCCGTTAGCGACTATCTTGTCGTCTTCCCCAAACGTGATTGCGATGAACGTCATGACCGGTTTGATGATTAGCACACATGCGATAATTTGAGACTATTGACTGCTCGTGAACGATTGTAAGCGGTACGTTAGATCATCGATGGGCTTAACCTGTTGCTTCCACACTAAGTGAATTTAAATGAAATGTTTCCTGACGATCCCCAAATTGGTTTCCCCTCCCCTTACCCCTACCGGACGTTATTGCTGCAACAGCACTGACTACTGAGACATACTGAATTTTCAACCAGTCAAATTTAAGAACACGACTTCAAGTCATCAAATACTCGTGGCTCACAGAGCACATGGTCCTCAGTTTCATTATGTTATCAAACGTATTCATCCACCAAAGAACTTGACTTTAGGCTCATGCATGTGCAATATTACCGTATAGGTCGGATGATCTCATTGTATTTCAGTAACTGAGAAAATCTTGCACCTATATGAAGCCTAGCACCACGATTCTTTTTTGATTATCAAATCTGAAGTATAGCGGTTCCAGGTACTGATTCTTGTCTTTTTTCCAAACATTGTGAAATACTCAGAGTTACCTAAATATTGATACCGCCAGCACCTATAATGTGAGTCCCTCAGACAGAAGTCAATTTACGCAGACAGTTGATATGCATAGAGGGAAGGCGTGTCCACGTATTGAGGAAGATGTTGCAAAGAAACATAGCCTTAAATGTGTGCCGGCAATACATTGGTATGGCGTGAATAGGTAGCGTAGAAAACATTTGCTCGGGTGAAGTTAGAAGAAAAAAATTGCCTAAGGGCATGTCAGGGGGGAGTGGTAAAAGGAGCTCACATATGCAACATAAAGGACAATGAAATGTTGTACTCCATCGTTCAGTTCAGTGAACTAAACACCACCTTAAGCGATATGTCACAGGCAGGCTCGGGAACACCCAGTGGGAGTGGGAATGCAGCACGGCGTTATCGCACGGCCAGCCAGAAATAGGCCGGGCCACGGCGCTCACTGATTTCACTCACTCACGGAGGTTGTTTGCAATGCGTCGGGCCGTCGGCGCATGGTGCAAAACGTGTGGTAACATTTCCAACAGAATCATATTCGATCTCCGCAAGCAAGAACGGGGCGAGTTTGATAGCAACGCAAGTCCGTCGCGGTGGCTCAGTTGGCCGTCCCGGTGGTTCAGTTGGTTAGAGTGCCTGCCTTCAACTCCACCCACACCGCGGCAGGGTGGATTCGAGTCGCTTTAGGGCTCTCGCTATTTGACCTTGACAGGTATGGCCTGCGGCCGGTGGCAGCGGTCGCTCCAAAGGTCAGCTGACTTCAGAGGACAGGACGGACCGTGCCGAGCATTGCGGTGCGTTAAGCTTTCGCCACTAAATTCTCCCGTTGTCTGGAATTGCGCGATCGGGTGGTGTGGTTCAGGGCTCACACAACAAGCACTGCTTAGCGCGAGCTAGCGCTGATCCCAGAAATCTATCCATTCAAAGGGTTCGGATCAAATTAAAAAAAAAAAACGTTGTAGTGCTATCGCACGACGATCGAAAACTGAGCTCGGTAACCGAAGCATATCGGTTTGATATGATCCCTTTCACGGTGCATTATTAAACGCAACCGGGCTCTCAGCGCACGCGTCACAAAATACAGACTGTTTGAAAAACTGCAAGTAACCTCTGTGAGTGAGACCGTCCGCCTATGGTATCACATTTCGGTGCTATCGCATGACATTCGTAATCGGGCCTGGCCCCGCCACCTATTTATTCCACATGACCCCGTAAAGGTGCACCAATCAACCCCGGTGGCCTCTGCACGCGCTGGCGGCGGGAGAAATCTCACAAGATTCATTGCTCGCCACAATGAACGCAATGCATTTAGTTTGTTTTGCTTTTCCAACGTGTGTATTCTGTTCCGTTTGCAACACCCTAATTTGTGGAAATCGACGGGGCTATCGTCCCGCAAATTCAACGAAGCGCTATATTCTGGTTTTGATTTTTCCCATATGTCGTTTAGCACAGGAGGTCTTCTCAAAGCGCAACTAGGCTTCAGGGAATGCAGTATCCCACATTTACAGTCACGCCCTGGTTCAAACTTGTACCAATGTTCTTCTCGGTATGTGACCCTCGCCGCCCACTGTGCCAAGCACGAACGTTCATTTGTACTGACTTCTGACTTTCTTTGTCATTTTTCTTCTTTTTTTCTATTTGTACTGGCTTTCGTTACTGAATGTAGTTCGGTTTTGGACATTTTAGTGATCCTTAACCTGACCCAAGGCCACCATGTTATGGAGCGGAAATGTTATCAACCATGGCGTATCGATTGGTAAAGGTGCTGGGCCGATCGGTTTCATAAGCTAGGGCATGGAGCTATCTGAAAATAATGTGTGGTGGTTTGGGGTATTTTCGAGACATTTTGCCTGCCCAAAAGGTCACCAGGTTCTGGAAAGGGCGTTATCGGCCATGGCGCATTGATTGGTAACAGTTTTGTGTCGATTGGTGCCATGGACTCGGAGCATGGAGTGGTATGCAGCCAACTTTGGTGGTATCGTTGCGTTTTGTTTCGTTTTTTGGTGGCTTGACCTGCTTTAAGATCATGTTCTGAAGGGGATAAGTTGACGACTAGGGCGCATCGGCTGGTGGAGTTTTTGTTACGAGCATTCCCATAGTCTCGAGTCATGGGTTGCCTGCAAATGGACTTCTCCGTTTCTAGGTATGCTGTGCTAATTTTACCCAGCCAAAAGTCATCTGCTGCTGGAAAACTTGTTATCGACCAAGTGGCTTCGAATGAAGAAGGGTTGTTTTTCAATCCCATAGACTCGGATGTTGGGTTTGTTAACAAATCTTGTCAGTCATTTAGTCCCTCTTTTGTACCCAGTTTACTGAAGCCTTAATTGCTTGGTCTGTTGCGCGAAGGTGACAAGGCCGGCGCGAAGTTTCTGCGTGTGATCGGCGTGCGAAATTTCAGAATACATGCATTCTCATTGCATTTGATTGCATAAGCCGTAGTTAGCTCGGTTATTGGATACCTACTGGTCCTCCACCTGGTTGGATGGGATTGTTTGGTGGTTATCTGATTGATTAAGCATGCTGCAGTTTGGAGAGGAATTTCCCGGTGAGTGGACACTAGACAAGCTAGGTTGGCCACCTAGCAAGCTTCGAATGTCGTGGTTGTCTGAAAAGCCTGCTGCACATACAACATTCAAAGTTTTTCTCAGGTTGCTGTTGGATGTCCTGAGTACTTATTTTAGCTATATTCGACCGGGAGTCACAGAGTTGCGAAGGTAAATGTCTACTTGGAAAATACTGAGGGTCACCTCTGTTGCTTTTATCTACTCATTTGTTACAATAAAGAAATGTGTCATGTGTATGATTGGAGCATCATGGTGCATTTTGCTGCTAAAACTTCATGGTATTGTCTGCCTCTCACCTTACAAGAAAGGTTCTGTTTAACCTCTACATTACTGACATCCCTGTCTCATCTCATGACATTTGTGCTACTGATCATTCTTTTTGTTGAATCCTGGCCTTTTGCCTCACAAGATGTTGACCTGATGTGACCACTGCAAAATGCAGAAATCATTGAATAACTGGCAATTGCTGTGTGTGCTTAAAGGTGCAGATTTACTATTCTGAGTTCAGTGAGATGCAGTAAAATTGGGACTAATGAACTCAACAAGTTGTAGCTGCTGGCCCAGCAATGACACAGCATGGTTGTTAGTTTCATGAAACTCTTGCCAGGTGCTAGTTTTTTAGTGCTAGTTTAGCCTGAAAGTGAAGTCAAAAGTAAATATTGTGACTCATGCTTTAGAAGTTGTTCATTCCGGAAGAGGTAAAGTACTGAGAAGAGATCACTTAGTGCAGGAGAAAACTGTCAGTGTTGCTGTGCTGTTATGAGAAATAAAATGTGAAGATGGAGTGGGCAAAGTTGTCTTTACCCAACTCAGAGGCAATGCAAATTGCCTGTCAGTAAACCCCATCATTTACTCAGTAGGGAAGAGGCCATCATGCTATGGTGGCCACTTTCATTGAATAGTGTAGAGCAGAGTAGATTATTGGACCTACCTTTTTGCTTGTTTTTGCCCCTATCCCATTGGTTTTGGCCATTTTTCAGATTTGCTTTCTTGCTGTCAAAAAACATCAGAAGTGTAGCATGTTTAGAACAGCTAAGTTTCATGTTTGGGAAACCAGAGACATGTGGTTTGATTCCCTGTGGTGCCTGCCATTCCTGCCAGGGTGATATGTAGGCGACTCCATGTAGCCTTTGTGGCTGAGTGTGTCATAAAGCCCCAGTGAACACAACAGCATGGTTTGGCATGGCATACAATATCAGCATATGTCACATTGGCTGCCGCGTTTTCGACCTTCAGGCACGCTCGGGCCGCCCGGCGCGTGTCGGCGGCGCCCCAGTCCCGCGCCGCGAGCTCTTCAGGCCCAGAGGATGGCGGCTCGGTGGCTGACATCAGTCAGATCCCGCTGTCGGAGCCGCTGCCGGGCTTGCCGATGCCGGTCAGCTCGACGGCCGTGTTCGGCGCCACCGAGACCCAGGTCACCACGCTCAGCAACGGCCTGCGCGTCGCCTCAGAGCCCAAGCACGGCCAGCACTGCACCGTCGGAGGTGAGGCAGACCGCCACACCACACCCCTGGAGGCCCGGCTGGCACGGCGCGCGGCAACCGGCGGCGTAACCGCTGCGGCTGTCATACGCGTGCAAGAGCATCTGTCGGAAAACTATCCCGCCATGCAGACAAAACGTGGCGCAAGCTATACTTTGAGCTGGCAAGTCATGGCAGTTGAAAGCGTTTGAGCTTACAGTGTGTTCCCTAGAGTAGGCCGTTAGACCAGATTTTTGTGCTTTCTTGTCATACTTCGTTCTTACCGCCCAGTATTTGGGGCGCACAGAGAAAAGATACAACACAGATTGTGCTAACAACAAAAATTCCGGATGCTACTTCTACGTACGTTACATCCACGCGATATACTATACTATCTATACCTATATACTTTACTTTATACATATACTTATACTGTACTACTATTTCTATATATACTTGTACTTAACTATCCTTGTAACATTGAGTGCAATTTAAGAACTTCTAACGCCTCAACTTCCTCGCAACAAACTGTGCAACACGGAATCGTCCATTTTACTTGTTTTCTTATGCAACAGCTCCTAATGCATAAACTTCAGGAATTAAACTGCCGCACACTAACTGCAACCCATTGCTGCCTACTGAAGTACCAACCCGCTACATATTCAGAGCATGGATTCACGGCGCCGCTTCTCGACCACAGGACGAATGGGCCGAAGCAGTGACACACGTGCTACCTGTATTCTTTCATGAAGGGCTCCTTTCAACCGTGCTTTGTCGTTCGGTCAGGAAAGCCACTGAATGCAACTGGGTGGCATCGAAATGCTTTCAATCAAGAATCTCAGTGACCCTGCTTCAAATAGGGCTTGCGGAGGCCCGTTCGCGCGAACGTCCCGTGCAATGTGCGTCCGTGCTTTTTTTTAATATTTGATCCAAATATTGAATGGGTGGATTTCTGGGGCCACTGCTCGTGCTAAGCAGTTTCTGTGTTAGCCCTGACTCCTACCATCCGAACTTGCAATTCCAAGTCAACGACATAATTTGGCGGCAAAAGCTGAACATTGCCGAAATGCTCGGCTCAGTCCATCCGCCCTCTGGCGTCACCTGATCTTCAGCGTGACCGGTGACCATCGGCCACAGACCATATCTGTCGGGAGCAAATAGCAAGACGCCTGAAGCGACTCGAACGCGCCCCACCACGGGTGGGTGGATGGGGAGGCAGACGCTCTAAACTACTTGAGCTATCGTGACGGACGTATCCTGCTACTTCTAAAAGTGAGAAGTACACAAACAAGCCGCACATCATACCATTTTTGTGTGGAGAAAAGCTAGCAACTGTCGCCTCCAAACCGTTCACCAAAGCGCCACCAAATTTTGATCTTATCAAATATATGGCATGTAAATAAATACCAATACAAGTTTTTAAAAAAGTTAATGCAGGTAAATGACAATGTTGAATTTCCAACGTTTATTTTTTAATGGTAACCTGTGGGCAGCTCCAAGTCCGTCTTTGGTGGCATTTGCGTTGCGCAAGGCCTTAAGGCGTATGGCAAGCTTTCATCTTCATTCTTTGGTAAAATAAGTGTCGTGAATGTGATTGATCATATATTTGGTAGTGAAGTGCTTAGGTACTGAAAGGATGGGAATGGGACAATGGGAAATCTTTCAGAACCGCATATGTAGCCTTACAAATTACCTGGCGTAGTATTTATATTACGTTTCTGCAAAAAACATTACAAGCACATTTTAAATTCACCGATTATGTCAAGTGTTATACTACATACCATGATTTATGTAGTGTTTGAGTGAAAACACATAAAATGCCATGTGCCTTACACAACTGAGTTTTTTTCTCATAAATCTGGTAATGCATATGACCACAGGCACCATTCAAAAGGACTTTGTACTTGATGTATCTTATGCCCCTTAATAAATTTCCTGTATTTTTAAGTTTTTAGGCTCGTAAAGATTAATAGTATGCTGACAACAGTCAAATTGCCTGTGTCACATCAAAATCGGATTAACTGTCCTCGAGATCTCTGATGGGCAGGGACAGGGTTCTGCCCAAGCTGCTTGCGATTAGTCTAGTTTCGAAATCATAGACCTGGCGGAATTGATATTGAGTAAGTGACATATCGGTGCAGTATCGGTACGCACCTATCGTTTAGTCCAACGTGCATGATGTGGTTAGTGTGGTATGTGGATGGAGCCTTTGTAGGGGCTAGCGTGTGCCCTCGTGTAACGGTGCCGGTGCTGGTTGACAGTGGTGGCTGACGCCGGCTCCCGCTATGAAGTGGCCTATCCCAGCGGCGTCTCGCACTTCCTGGAGAAGCTGTCTTTCGGGGTCAGTCGAAAGCGGCCTGTGCAGGGACAACGGTCTAGCGAGATAGCGTTTGTGTCGAGAAGATTATTGATGCGCTTCATAAGCCCTTTATTTTGAAACGTCTCATTTTTCATTTGCTAAGTATGAATGATGCTAGTTTTTTGTTTGGGTTTGCCGTGAATGTCATGTGAATGTGATATCTCAACTTATTAATTCAATTTTAAAAAGCTTGAAACGCACTATTACACTGTTTAAAGGCTTCGTTCACGTCGTTCGCGGTGTTGTCAACAGATCCAATGTATACTGTTTCGTTGCCTGCATTGTGTTCAACTGAAGTTTTCATCTGGTTTTGACATTAAGGGTTACTCCATTGTGACATCTCCCAACATGGACTTGATATATCTGCAGCCGCTTGTCTTCTCTTGCCATGATAAAGGAGACTTTGTTTGCAAACCCTTTCCTAGCCGTGGCGTTTTTGTTCGCCTCTGTTGGTTTGCCTCCCTTGCGCGGCTTTTGACAAATGCTGAACACCGCGCAGGCGACTAAAAACTTCAAAGACCGGAACGAGATCATGCTGACGTTAGAGCGTCTCGGCGGAATATGCGACTGCCAGCAGTCCAGGTACGGATGGTGGTGGACCGATTAGTGCCATCAGACGAGCTGATACCTTCAGCCAACTCGCTGTTCACCTGTATTCATGAACGGTTTGTACTGTGTGTGTGTGTATGTCCATGCACACATGTATGTGCCAGGTATGTATGACACAACCTGAAGCAGAGAGCGTTGTTTGGGTGAAATACGTTTGTCATTGGGGACACAAATAATGAATTTGTGGAATAGGTAATACGAATGTGTTCCACCAGTGCGAAGCATGACTATTGCACCTAACTAACTATCGAATACGAATCGAGTACAGATTTGTCCTGCAGACCACAGCTTCAGTAAACAGGGGAAACATCGGAAGATTCGGTGACCTCTGGTGACCGTTGAGCTGTCGGGACGTGTCGGACGTCGCGCCGGCCACCTCCCAGTGGGCTCCTGGCTGGTAGTGAGGCGTCGGGACCGGTGACCTCCCACCTCTCCCGGAGCCTCGAGCTGAGAGGCAAGGTTGACCTCACCAAGCTGCAGGCGATGGAGGCGGGAAGGGCTGCGATTGTCATCGCTTTCCACGGATGCTTCGACAACCGACGACTGCTGGGTGGCGTTGTCAGGATTTTTTTTGACATTGTCATGTTTTCATAATTGTTCCGACGACGGTGTGTTTTCCAGGGATGTCTCCATACACGCGGCCTCTGCGGAAGCGAAAAATGTGAACGCGGTCGTATCTCTGCTGTCAGATGTCATCCTGC